ACAGCCGCCTGGTTGCCGCCAGTCGAACCCGCGGCAGGTCGAGCACAGCTGCGCCCGCAGCCGTGGCCCGCGTGACTCTATTGGAGACGGCGGCACGCGGGCGAAACATGGACCGCAGCGAGTCAGGGGCGCCGGCGGCGTACAAGGCGCGTTGCACGTTCACCGCGTCACGGCGTGCGATGACCTCACCAATGCCGGGCCAGCCGAGCGCGCCGAGGGCGGGGGTGATGTGGTCGAATTTGCGGAGACCAGAGACGAGCCGTACAGCGAGATGGATGGTCCTCTGCAGCCGGTGCAGACGGGATTTGGAGGCACCACCCCAGACTGACGAGCAGTACTGGAGGTGGGGGAAAACGTGGGTTTGAACGAGGATTTTAAGGATGTCAGGGGAGAGGTGATGGCGAATTTTGAACAGTGATATAAGGATTCCATTTGACCGCCGAACGATAGAGGATATATGTGGCTCCCAGCTCAGGGTTTGGTCGAGGAGAACACCCAGCACCTTGATGTGTTTTGTTGGCCGAATAGTTGCATCATCTACGTTAAGGGTGAAGTTTTTGACTTTATCAACTGAATTTTGAGTGCCAAGAAGAGTGAAGCAGGTCTTCTCTCCATTCATTTTTAAACTGTTTAAGCTAAACCAGCGTTGAAGTTGCTGAATGTTCTCCTCGGCCCGGGACTTCAGCACTTGGATGCCAGTGGGATTGGAGGGTGCTGAGTCCAGGATTTGGGTGTCATCCGCGTAGGATATGAGTCGGCCATGGGGGAGGAAGCAGGTAAGGTCGTTGACGAAGATGAGGAAGAGGATGGGACCCACGATGGACCCCTGGGGAACACCGTGGGAGAGTGGGAGGGCCGTTGAGGAGCGGATGAGTTGGGAACGGCCAGAGAGGTAGCTGCTGAACCAGCGGGATGAGATGCCATACCACTCGAGCTTGTTCAGAAGCATCGAGTGGTCGACACTGTCGAATGCCTTGCTCAGGTCGACTGACGTCACCGCGGCAATGTCACCACCGTCGACCCTGCGAGCCGCCCATTCGACAATGTCGAGTATGGCATCTTCAGTGGAGTGGGATGGGCGGTAGGCATACTGGGATGGGGAGAGGATGTGGTTAGTGATGAGGTAGGAGGTGAGCTGAGAGCACACAACCTTTTCAAGGATTTTGGAGAGAGATGGGAGGATGGATATGGGGCGGTAGTTGCCAGGCTGGTTGGGGTCACCGGATTTGTGGATTGGTGTGACGATGGCAACTTTCCATGCGTCAGGGAAGGTAAGGGTGGATATGGATGAGTTGATTAGGTGAAGGATGGGCGGACCGACTGCAGGGAGACAGCTTCTGATCGCAGCGATCGGAATGCCATCAACCCCAACAGCCCTCGACGCACTCAGCCGGCTGATGGTCAGAATCAGGTCTGGCAGCGTTATGCATTGAGGGGCGAAGGCGCTCGCACATACCCTGGGAGGCCGCGGGCCGGCAGCGGGGGTCTCGGTCCCCTGCGCGGCCCGCGCGGCCTCAGCTGCCACACGAGCGCCGACACCGGCAAAATACTCGTTGAGCTGGTCGGCGCTCAGCACATCACGGTCTGGTGGCTGTGCGCCTGCAGAGCCTCTCGCAGATAGGTTAGCACCAAATCGCTTAAGTCATCCAACAACGCCCTCAGAACAGTTTTTTAAATTCTCTTCACATTTCCGTCCATATCTATAGTTCTAGACGACACATCGACATGAATCAAACACCATTCGAAAGCAAATTGGCTGGTGCCGCAATTTTTCCTAGTGGTAGGGGACAGGGGTAGGGGTAGTGGTAGGGTAGGGGTAGTGGTAGGGGTAGTGGTAGGGGTAGGGGTAGTGGTGGAGACAAAAGCAGAACAGTGGCCCGGGCTGATCCCAGCGGACGAGAGGTGACCTATGTGACCTGGCCTGACCCAAAGTGACCGGGGCTGACCCCTTTGACCCGTCTTGACCCCGTATCACCCAAATTTCATCCAACAACGCCCTCAGAACAGTTTTTTAAATTCTCTTCACATTTCCGTCCATATCTATAGTTCTAGACGACACATCGACATGAATCAAACACCATTCGAAAGCAAATTGGCTGGTGCCGCAATTTTTCCTACCACGCAGCAAAGCAAGTGGCGCAGCCGCTTGTCTATATTACTATTTGAGGAGGGCGTAGTTTCTGTCTGTAACCGAGGTCGCGACATGGTGCTACGTAGCGCGGGATACAGGTCACACCGTTGCACCTACCGCGCTGAAATTTGCGCAAGTTATAGAACAAGGATGGACAACGTGCCTTTGAGCGGTCTCGGCTCGATCGGATCGATAGCGAGCGCGTGGCGCGTGCCCAAAAAGTGCAAATTCGCGTCATAGACTTTACATGTATAAATCGGCTGGCAAAAACGGGCGAAAATGGCTAAATTTGCCCGACACGGGTCCGTTCCCCGTGCAATATCTCGGTAGCCGTGCGCCCGATCGGCACGGGGAAAACAGCATCGTGTAGAGAATCGAACGGGCAATCGAATAGTGTGCGGTGCAGGGGTGGCACGCGCCACGTGCACCCGTGAGGGCGCTTTTGTTTGAAAAATTGACGTTTCGGACGGATTTTGGATTTTATTTTATTTTCACGTGACCGTCAGACTGAGAGTGTTAAAACAATGCCTATTGGCAAGGGAAATGTACCGCCTCTCATGGAAAAATTGTGAAAAGCTAATTGATCAAAAACAAGGTGGAAAAATCGCTGGAGAAAATGGTATTTGTCCATAATGTGCCACTAAATAATTACACGGGATTTGCTGCTTAACCTGATACGTTTGGCAATTGAAAATGCTATCATTAGAAAGAGCATTCAATTCTCTCCAAGATCCAATCATCACGTTTGCATGACAAGCAACAGTACTCTTAAAAATATAAATGTTTCAAACCTCTGCAAAATCATTTTTAGCGAAAATTATCTACGCCTTTCATTCGTCACAAAACTACGCACCTGAATTATAAAACACATTTGACAGGTTCACTGAACTATTGACAGGTTCTGAAGTGGAAAGCATGCTTATCAGACACGGGCACCTCGATCCGATGGATATTTTTTTTCCAAACCAAAACGTTTAGCCATCAAAAAGCAATCGACCGAAATGGATAGATAATCCAACCGACACAAGAACAACCAAACACCCGCCGATCGTAAATACCCCCTTTTCGCGTTGCGGAGCACGCGGGTCACCCTAGTAGAAACTACTTGTAGGTATCATTAGTTGCATCATGTAAAACAGTCGATTTCCCACTGGGAATACTCATGAGCTACTGTGTGCAAAGAAACATTCACTTCATTCACTTCATATTTTGCAATAATGTGTAGTGTGCAAGATGTATAGTTTATGGTAGGACCCGGTTGGACCCGTCAGGAAATTTCCAGGAACCAGTCTGGACCCATATGGGTCCAGACTGGTTCTTTGGACCGGGTCCTCGGGTCCACATTTTGCCACCTCTACGAAGCATAAGTCATGCCAGTCTCTCTTCCCATGCTTGTGGCCGCTCATCTACATTGGTATTAATCTGGCCTATAGCTTGAATGTTGTACCATGTAACCCTGTGCTCCGCAAGCTGGCGTCGAACGACTTATTTGTCGTCTCGGGGCCGTATTGATGCATCTGTGACGTCATTGGACGGTGACGTCACTGGACAGATGGTCCGGACGGTCCGACAGTGAGCTGTTATTGGTATCACCGTGATATTGATGTCGATTGGACCCCGGGGGTCTCTTGGGGTTCATCTGATTATAGTTTATATGGACGGAAGCTGAGCGAAACTTTCTTCTGCTTTTTTGGAGCACTGGTGCCTCGGTGGTATAAGGCATAATGGGGTATCTTCAGTCTTAACTAAGCTCATAATATGTGTGTCCTAATCCTATTATATGCAATCCTAAAATCATCGACCTAAGAACGTCGTTTAACACTGCGGACCTTATTTGACAAAGGATGTGTGCCTGGGGACCTCATTTAAATTGCAAACGTTTCACTCGTTTTCTCCGTAATGACCCACAGCGCTTTGTTTTAACTGTATCAACTTGGATACTTCCAAGAGGAAGTTGGCTGACGCCTTGGCGTCATAATTTCTCCGAATGGCTTTGATTGATTGCATACTGATCGGATACCAACGACTGAAATTAGCACCGACTTGGTTAAAGTTCTGTTTAGCCGCATCATAATGTCCCATATTCCACCAATCTGCTCGCCGCTGAAGGCCCCCGTCAGCCAACTTTGTCGCGAGAGTTTGTCAGGGGGAATTTTAAACCCGGAACGGTTTCGAGGGATTTGAGATGCAAAGTGACGTCTTTACGGTTTCGCGATACTCCCTTGCATCTCGATGAAGCACATATCCTCCGAATGCATCACAACAATTAAGCTATAATTTATGTGATGAGACAGGATGTGATTATTTCAAAACAGCTACCTCGGCTGCCTCTTACAGAGACGTCCGTCGTATCAGTAATGTCGGTGAAGTGTTATCTTATAACGCTCCGGGAGACTCGGAGTGGCGCGGTCGTTTGTCTTCCGTAGAAAATGTGCTGCGATTGTCACAGCCAGGGGATTTTTTCATGATTACGAGGGTTTTATCGTTTTATTTGATGAAATAGGGCCAGATCTGTTGTAATGTACTAGTTAGTTACGATTTTCTCACTTTTTATCTCCTTTTTCTTGCAGCGTATAAATCCGAATGCTTCTTTGTACTGTTTAATCATTTCTGCTTTGTGTGTTCACTGTTCATCGCCGCTGTTCATGGCCGCCCTGCTACATGATTTCCCGTCGCCTTATCCCCAATTTGATGTCCTTCGCCCATAATCCAGACATGAACCCCGATCGCCATATCCTTCTCTTCACCAAATCTCCTTTATTTCTTGTTTGCTGTTCCATATCCCCGTTCCATTACCCTTCTCCTTCCCCTCGACGCTCTATACCCTCACCCCCCAAACCCCATCTAACTCCCCCCCCCCCATTCCCAGGACGACGCTCTGCAGCTGCACCTGCTGTCTGGCCGGCCGGAGCTACACCATCGAGTTCCTGCGCTTCTGCAAGCAGGCCACGCTGCAGTTCTGTGTGGTCAAGCCGGTGATGGCCTGTGTCACCATCGTACTGGAGGCCTACGGAAAATATTCGGACGGATACTGGAGGTGAGAGGAGGATGGGGACAGGGTAGAATGAAGAGAGCGATTTATGGGCCTCCTGACAGGTATGGTTGCGGTTGGTGGCAGGCCGTAGCCTGGCGAAGTCAGTGAGGGGACCGGCCGTGCGCGGCTATGTGCGCACGTTAAACTTTGGACTCTAAATTCTGCCATAGAACTGGGATTGCGCGATCGGAGGGTAGAGGGCAGGGTCACCGCAACAAGCTTCGCTTAGCGGTGGCTCTGTCCTTGTGAATCCTTCCCATCATAAGGTTCGGACTAAATTTATAAGAAAAAAAGAGCGGGGGCGAGAGGATGAGGAAGGGGTGCTGGGGGAGGGGGTAGTTCAGTGTGGGGAAGATACGTGAGGGCTCAACTCTCAGCCGTTTTCATCTGAGTTTGACGTCCAAAAAGAACGAAATCTTGACGTTACAGCCGGCGCTTTCTCATGGACACATTAGTACCATCGTGATTTTATAATCCCTCTAATAACACCATTATCAAGTAGTTCGGAAATTTGCACACTGATTGGCGATGTAATTTCAATGATTTGAATACTTGTTGAAATTGCGTCAATCATGGAATCTATTATCTAACACCGTTAGCACATCGCCTTCATGACTGTTGTACATCCATTTCGATCTGATTTATTTTTTAATCTTTTTTAATGATGATATAACTAATCACTATTGATCTTGCAGTTTGTATTTATGTGTAGTGTTGATTATTATTTATTTTCATTTATTATTTTCACCCTAACTTCTACGACCTCTCGTAATCCGGCCCGATCTGGGCCCAACCTCTCCCCTCTGATCCCCAATCAGCCCATCCATCCATCGGTCGGTGCTCCGCTGAGTTATGGTCGTCTGTCCAATGTATTGGCGGATGTCGATGGCTGTGACGGCCTGCCGAGTTATGTTCGTCTACTACCTGATCAGCTGTTGTGGCTCCGCTGGGAGCCACACGTTGCCACCGCCGCCGCCGCCGCCGCCGCCGCCGCCGCCGCCGCCGCCGTCCGCCGCTGCCGCCCGGCGCCCGCCGCCAAAGCAAGGTGTGCCAGAGTGAGCGAGGCGAGCCGGCTCCCTCGGCGGCGGCGGCGGCGGCGGCGGCGGCGGCGGTGTTATGGGCGACTAGTGGCCGGGCCGGCGGGCGCGCAGCCTTGAGGCCCGCCTGACACGGCCGGCCGGCCGGCGGACGCGCAGATCAGGCCCACGGTGCGCGCGCGGGCCCGGCCCCAGGCTCGCCCTGCTGTGACGGTTGGGCGAGGAAAGACGCGTAGCGAGAGACGTGGGGTTTGATGAAGCTTGGCAAACTGGGAAGTTTGCTTGAGTTAGAAAATGTTCCTGGGTTTGTGTGTTAAAAAATGAAGAGTAGAGTTTAGGTGTTGATGTGTTCGTATGTATGTTGGGAAGGAATGCAGCGTACACGTACGGTGGCTTATCGATCGGCCACGTACCAGCCATGCAGGTGATATGGTGCAGAGGATCGGATGCTATTTTGTTTATTGGTTGCGCCTAAGTTGAAATAGGGTATGGAAATTTTGTTTCGTCTGCAGTGGGCGAGTTGTGCGTGTACCCGCAAAATATTTGCACCATGTTTGCACCACCACAGCTGATGATTACTCATATTATTGGTTGGCTCATAGATGATCACTTTCGTTAAAGTTTTAAGCCGGTTTTTGAATTAAATGCATGCTATTATAACAAAGCATGACTAAATTACAAGACGGTATTGTATAGCCAAAGCGCTCCATAACCGTAATGCCTCGCGCAGTCCACAGTTTTTCATGTGTAACATCGCTACTGATCAACAACTTCACCATCTCTGACCCCCTCCGTTTCCCACAGCGCGACCAGCGGGTACCTCTATATCACCATCATCTACAACTTCAGCGTGTGTCTGACATCCTCCCCCCCCCCCCCAGCGCGACGAGCGGCTACCTCTACATCACCATCATCTACAACTTCAGCGTTTCGCTGGCGCTCTATGCGCTCTTCCTGTTCTACCACGCCACCAGGGAGATGCTGCGACCCTTCGATCCCGTCATCAAGTTCTTCACAGTGAAGTCGGTCATCTTTCTGTCCTTCTGGCAGGGTGAGATATGCATAGAACGAGACGCCTGCATAGACGTCCGTTGGTTTTTGGATTGTAGGCCGAGGTTTTCTAGGCAGTGTTTTTCTCTGTTTTACTTCATTCGGACGTTGGTTTTTATTTGACGATTTCATCAAATGTTTCACAACAGAATGTGTTTCATAACAAATTTTTGAGTAGACAGGAAATCGCCTTATTTTGCAACAATTGCAGATCAATAATTGATCATTAAGCCTGTAAATAACTCATTTTGAAGTTGTAATAAACAGCCGCGATCGTGATAACTTCTAACTCAAAGTGTTCACGTTCCATTATCCACCCCCCCCCCTCCCCAGGCGTGCTTCAAGCCATTCTGTAGATGAGTAACATGTCCTTCCCCCTCCCCAGGCGTGCTTCTGGCCATTCTCGAGTGGAGCGACATGTTCGAGGAGCGCAGCTACATCAACCCAGGCACCATGTCGGCCGGCTACCAGAACTTCCTCGTCTGTATCGAGATGTTCTTCGCCGCCATCATGCTGCGCTACGCGTTCCCGCATACGACCTACTCCCAGGAGTGTTTTACCGATCCGAGCGGACGGTCGGTGACCATGACGAGTATCTCCAGCTCTCTGAAGGTAGGTTTGGTGGGGGGGGGGGCAAGGAGGGAGGGAGGGAGGGAGGGAGGGAGGGAGGGAGGGAGGGAGGGTGAGAGAGGGAGAGGGAGGGGAAGAGAGGGAGGTGGTACCTAGGTGTCGTTAACCGTTTTTTATAGTAAGCCTCTACGTTTGTTTTTGTTTTTGAGACCGATTGTACTACATGTGAGCTTTCTTTAGGATGTTTTTTTTTTATCCGGTTGTAATCCATGAGCGTATCCTGAGAGCATTTGAATGGATTACGTCCGGTATTGTACCCATAATCGGATTTCACCCGCATTTGGTAGTGATTTGAATGGGATGAATGGTGTCAACATAGTCATTAACACTTACTTTTAGTCTCTGAACTGTCGCTTATGCCGGATGTAGTTTATGTAGAAGGATGTGTGGTCATCTCGGTACCCGTCTAACTAGTCAGTCTTCTCTCTCGTCTCTTTCGAAACACTCACAGTTAAAAGGCCATCCACAAATCACATTATCAACATTGAACGCGGTATACCATGAGTCCGTATGGACCATGAGTCCGTAAATGCAGTTTCTCTCTCTCTCTCTCTCTCTCTCTCTCTCTCTCTCTCTCTCTCTCTCTCTCTCTCTCTCTCTCTCTCTCTCTCTCTCTCTCTCTCTCTCTCTCTCTCTCTCTCTCTCTCTCTCTCGCTATGCTTTCCCTGCCATTCTTTTGCCATCCCACAACATTGCGCTGCTTACATTTCGCCTCGCCTCTCCTCTCTTTCCCCTCCCCATCCTCTTTTCCCCATGTCCAATGACTGCACCAGTCCCGTCCGGTCCAGACCACACAGTGCGGCACTCTGCACGGGGGGGAAGGGGGGGGGGGGCTGTGTGGGCCACTCCGGGATCGATTCACCGACGCCCGAACGTCTAGTCCGGGCGACCGAACGGCCGACCGAGCGATTAGCTGTACGTTCTTTGATCGTGATGCCTTTGCCGCTGTTATCTGTGTCGGTCTTTGGTGTGTAATGAAGTACTGTTATCTCCGTTGGCCGTCAGATATGGTGTGTTGTGGTCAAATCAGACAAGTCACAAATGCGTCCCTGTATATTGGGTGTATTACAATTAATGTTTGACGCTTTTATTTTGTGTTTTCGCAGGAGACGATGAACCCACGAGATATAATGACGGACGCGATTCACAACTTCCATCCGCAGTACAGCCAGTACACCCAGTACAGTGCCGGTACGTACACTGCAGTACACTGCGGTACATTCAGTACACTGCAGTACAGCCAGTACACCCAGTACAGCGCCGGTACGTACACTGCAGTACACTGCAGTACATTCAGTACAGCCAGTACACCCAGTACATAGTTCACCAATAGTACACCGGGTGTACTAATACGGGTGTACTACACCCGTATTACTTCCATAGTTTGGTACCGTTTTATATTACGGTCACAGAAGCTCGATTTTACATGCAAAAGCCGTTCAAAGCCGTGCTTTCACAGACGGCTTTGAAGACTCCCCAGATGTATTTGTCGTTCCATTTTACGTGAACTTCTGTGAGATGCATTCAGAATAGCTGAGACTCGGCGCAAGCAGCTTACATTGAGCGTCTCGAGTAGACACTTTATTATCTGCTAGCTGTTGGTATTTCCCCTTACGTTTCCCTAGTTTGACCAGCTTTCCCAAGTATCGAACAACTAGATTGGGTAACTACCACTAGGGACAAATTACTTAGCTATTGGACGCGAATAATTCTATGATCTTCATCCGTGCGTGTAAATCCCATGTTGTGATGCATTACGGTGCGGTAAACACGATTATGCGGGTATTTGTGTACCTGACAGCTCTACGATTGCCGAGCTTTTTTACCTCTCCGGGCTGGCTTTGGCTGAGACGGATCCATCGCAGCTGTCGGCGGCAATAAATGTATTCCAGACATCGGCTCGACGCTGCGTCCAGAGCACTTTGTCAGGGGTTCGTTCAAATTGATGAGTTCGGGGTAATGCTGCGCGACTTGGGTGACAATTCACGGGGGTCTCACGTCAGATTCAGTCAGCTTTATTCACTGTGAGCTCTATTGAGGCAAATTCACGGCAGATAAGAACGAGTGTTTTTCGTGGCTGATTGGTAATGCAAAATGTGGACACTAGGGTATTTAAGCAGCGCCATTCGTTAGCCCTAGGATATAAATAAAGAGTAGTGATTGTTGATATCAATTCAAATGTGACACACTACAAATAATACTGATACTACAAACACACCTGGAAGGGGCTGGTACACATCTACTCTCAGGTAGGTTTGTTTTAGGTGATATTTCAACAGAATGCATTCTCGTTTTGCTTGTATGCACGTCAATTGCTCGCTTGCATTTTTGCCATGCATTTTTATTTGCTGACTGCAATTCTAAGTTCAGTTTAGTCGTGTGGTATTCTTTAGCTAGTAGCAACTACGTATGCTAGTATGTGTATGCTATAGCTAGAATATCGTTTAGGATTAATCAAACTTAGCCGGTGTCGTAGAGGGATAGCTGACAATGATCCAACAAGCTTAGTGACCTGTGTCTGTGTGTTTGTCATTATCTCATTCCTCTCTTACCTCGAAACTGGCACCCACCCACACATTCACCCTTTGAAAGGTTTGGGTTCAATAAAGTAAGGGTATTGGCTGAGCCTGACTCGTACAGGGTGTGAACTGGGTTTGGTTTGGTTTGGTTTGGTTTGGTTAGGTTTGAAATGTGCCTGATGAGACTCTTCACTCTAAACGCTGCACTTGTCTTGGGCCCTTGGTGTGGTGAATTCTCCCAACGTGCATGGGTTGATATTTGACAATCGTTTTGTCGTTTTCTTTCCTGATTGGTTTGGTGTACGATGTGATTCAATTTGTGAACGCCCTTTGTAGATTGTGTGATTTATTATGCAGCGCATCTTCATCATGTGCTTTATCGTGCATTGTATCGTGTGCTGTGCCGTATAAGATTGGTGTTTGATGTAAAAAGTTGTACATTGCTGTATAGCTGTATCATTTCGCGAATGATTGCGTTATATGGATGTGCTTTGTCCCTTACTATGCTATTTGAATAAGCCGTTGGGTATTTTTGCTTTATATTGACGTCCGTTTTCCCGCACCTCTCTGCAAGCAGAGACAGTAATTAATCCCCGATTACATTCCCCTCTAAAAATAGCCGTCGGTCCGTGGATCTCTGTCGGTCGTACCTCTCCTTATAGAGACATCAGTCAGTCGCCGCTCGCTGGATGCTCTCTATTTATAGCTACTCTCCTCAGTGGAGTGGCAATGTCAGAATGTGATGAAGGTCGATGGTGTGTCCGAATTTCTCAGAGGAGGATTTTATCATCCCGCGCTGTGATATTTATCTAGGACAGAAATGTGTTCAAATGGAAATATCGGGACACAGTAACATATGTACATGCTTCTGGATTTTAAGCCGTGCTTTTTGTGATATAATAATGCGATCCTTTTCAGTTCCCAGACCATACACCAGACCGAATTTCTAGTTCTGCTGGCTGAATAAAAAGATGGCGGCCATCCTTTTGATTTTGGCTGGGTTTATGACTCTGTTTAACTTCTAGGGTGAAATGTGAGTTCCCATTGTTTTTGAAGCCTGTAACGCTTTTAACCATGTTAGCTGATGGAGCATGTTTCACAAGCTTCCTTTGTTCTCTCAATTTCAAATTATCTCAGATATGACAATATGTATTTTTTGTAAGGTAACACGAAGTCTGAAATTTAAAAGTAATCCCAGCCAGACTGGGACACCCATACTTTCAGAGGCATGGGGGCAGATGCTTAGGGGAGAGGGATTAGGGGAACCGCCTCGTGACCTTTGTTGGAGATCTGTGACCTTTGTGGGAGGAGGAGGATCTGTGTCCAGACTCCAGAGTCGCTGATCGGCCATTGATGGTTGAAGTTTGTCAGACCGGGGTCTGTCGGTGGGACGGATTCCTGGAACTGAGACGTGGTCGATCTGGCGGAACCGTGGGCGCCCTCCAGTGGTGGATTGTCATGACTGAGTTGTTTAGAAGTTGTGTTCTGTAACTGGTCCTTGGGAGTGAGAGGGTTGTCCCGGCATGGGAGGGGGAGGGGGTTGTGAAGTAAATATGACTGTGACTGGAATGTGATTTCGCGATGCGTTCATTTGGTTGGCGTGATTTGTTCCGGGACGGTGCGATTCACATGCCTTTGTTTTTTTTTATGTGGCGTATAAGACGTGTGGTCCTTTGGGCGTGATTGTGTAGAACCTAATTCCCAGCTATCACGCTTAAATTGAGAACGATTCCCTGCCCAGTGTTGCCCCGTCGCTGCACGTGAATGACCTTAAAATATGCCTGCCTTGCATCGGTAGCGAATGCATCCAATCAGTTATATTGAATGTTTTACCAATGACTGTTACATCCGTGTTTGTCCTGCTCGAAATTTGGCTGTTCTCTGTATGACGGTCCAGTGACCCGACCCCTCCCTGCCTGCTGCCCCTCCCCTGACCCCGGTGACCCGCCGCTGACCGGCCGGCGCCCGCAGGCATCGGTGACGGCAGCAGTCGCCGTCCGCCCGCCTCCCGGCCCGCCGAACTGGACGTCACATCCACCGCAGTGGCGCCGCCTGTCGGCCCGTCGGCAGGGTTTCAGGAGCTGCGCGCGCCGCCAGGCGGCAGCACCAGCGCTCCGCCAGGTGGCAGCACCGGCGGCATGGTGCCGGGCTATCAGCAGGGTACTGGCGTGCGCTCGGCGGCGGTGGCGGTGGTGGGCACGGCACCTCGCGCAGTAGAAACACAGCTCAGCACTTGGTGGAGGAGAGGGGCACGCGGGCGGGGGATGGAGTGGCGGGCTGGTGCCGGAGTGGGGAGTTTGGGGATGAAGGCCAATGAGGTCTTGTCAGACCAGAGACGACCTAACTAATTTGTGTCTTTTCCTTCCTTCATTCTTATGCTGCTGTTTTTAGTTTACTATAAAAACTCATATTTTATATTCATGAACGTAAAAGTGGAGTGTCATTATTTGTTGATACAGTTATTGATCTTTTTCTTTATATGTACCGGCAATAAGGGAATGATAAGTTAGTTTTCTTCTGAACTCACTTATTGATTTTGTCCGTATTCTGTGTACTCCGGCACCGTCTGCGCTCCGTTACCCCTGGACTGCGTGCGCCCGGCACTGGTGGTGGTCCAGCTCGTATGTCTCACAGCCGACACCCCACCGCCACTGTCTCACAGCCACTGTTTGTCTCACCGTATCTCACTTGTCACTGTCTCACCGAATATGTGTCAGTGTTTCACTGATCACTGTATCTGCGTCACTGTCTCACTGTTGTGCCTCACCGTCACGGCCTCATCGTGTCTCACTCATTGTCTCACTCAGTCCATGTCTCACGTTGGTTGTCTCACGTCATGCCGTGGCTCACTTCTCACTTTTCTTAGCCTTGCTCACGTCTATTCGTATTCTCGCCAACACTGTCACTCTTTCACTGTATTATATTTGTCATGCTGGCTCGCCTAGACATTTTGTTGGACCGTCCCTCTCATGATGTATCATAAGATGTGTATTCCAGCTGCACATTCAGTGTGTCAACTCTGTCACACCGCTTTAGCTACTGTCTTACACATAATCTCATCTCGAGGATCCGCTTAAACGTTTTCCTCACCATTCCCTGTGTCAATTTGTGTCATAATATGTATCTGTTTCGCATACTGTATAAAGTATATACAATGTGCATTTATTCCCCTCTCGCTCATTCATCTACGCGCGATTTGTGTGTACGTTTACCCTTCACTCGCTCATAACCACAGCTTAAACACTGTTTGCTTCGTGTACATTCTCACCGCTCTAAGCACTGTTGTTCATAGTCGCACACCGATGTCTATCAGACGTTCACCCACATCTAAGCGCCTAAAAGTAGACATTCGCGGTAGATCGGACCAGACGCGTTAGTGTTGACTGCAGTGCCGTGCCCGCCACCCGCCGGCGGCCCGGGCTGCCTTATGTGTTCGTGATGGGACGGCCAGGGGACGGCTTTTGGCGGTGGTGGTGGTGGTGATACGGGGATGGTGCTAGGTGGTGGAGACTGGTGCTAGTTTGGTGCGGTGGTTAATTGGTTCTGCTTTGGTGCTGCTGGAGGTTCTGCCACTCGGTGCTGGTTTGTAGTGTTTCGGTGATGTTATTCGTGCTGATAGGTGGTGTGTGCTGACGGCTTCTGATCTAATGTCTGCTACCATTGAGGCTGTTATTGTCGGCTCGATTCTGGTTCTCTCTCAGTTCCTAGTGATTCCTGACGGGTTGACTGGTGCGTCCCACAGTATCTGCCATCGGTCTTTCAACTCCTGACCTGGACGGACGGCTGAAGATCGCTCTACTTCTATTTCGATTTCGTGTTTAAGTGTTTTGGTAGCTGCAGCTGGGAGAGACTTGACATAACTCAAGCCTCCACTGACATAACCTAAAGCAACTAGCAGACATGCTAGTGCAGCACTGTTAGACTGATGCTGCCAATTATTTGGAAAGAGCGTTCGATGCGCATTTGTGGCGTTTGAGATATTAGTTAGCGCGCCGGCCTTCTGTCTAGTTGGCTTCGATGATTAGAGCTTAGCCAAGTGGTTGCGGACAAGTTAACTGAAATACAGCGGGTAGTGAAGCTCTTTGATCGATGGTACAAGGGTTTCGACTTGTGTTCGTAAGCATAATGTTGTATTTTGATCCAGCCAGCCTTCATGATTCCGTTTGGATGTGGATTTCCACAGCATGCCTATCTGTGCCTCTCGTGTCGCTTCTTGCCTGCATGTGCCCGTCTCTTGCACGCTTTGCACTTTGGTTCGCTTTTTCCAATGAAATGTGTGTTTCTTAAATATTTTTGTTTAGATTCTGATTTACTTAGTAACTTTAAAATGTCCCTATCACTTTTTGTTGAATATTTTTTTTGCGGGCTTTTCAAATAATTTTTGATAACCAGGCTATTCCAGATTCGCATGTAAATTAAGTATTTCTGTTTCCATCATGAATGACAATAATTTTGCTCACTAGATGTATTAATTTCTACCTAGGGTGTCGGCGTTTTGACCATTTGTGCCCCACCATAACCGGTTTTCTCTGGTTTCAGCCGGCGGTCGGCCAAGCAAGAACCACTCTCGTACCCACTCGGGCAGCTACGACGGTGACGCCGGTGTGCCCCAGTCCAGTCTCCATGGCAACAAGAGACCAAACAACCCGCGCGTCAGCGGACTCAGCTACACGGAGAAAACCACACTGCTCTCTAGCGACGACGAGTTCCCGTGAGCGGCCGCGACCGGGGCGACACCTATACCGTAGTTAGTTACTCTGCGCGCCGCTAGGTGTCCCTGACCGGTGATTGGGTTCGGTGATTCTGTGATTAGTTGAGTCGCTCCGCGGCCTGCGAGGGCGGTAGACGTTTTCTGTTGATATCACGTGCCACCGCAGCGGATATACGCCGTGATAATTATGCGCCGCTGGAGCATAGCTCGGGTATAACAAGCTATGATTTTCCCAGGTGTAAGTTATGTACAGTGTTTTTGTATTGCTTTTCACACATTTAGCCTCACGCATTGATGTAATTTTGTTAAAACTATCGCTGTTGTAGTCTTTTTATAGTTCGTTTTTCTTAAGTTCGACCCTCACTGTAAACATCTTTTTGGAAACAGCACGAGAATTGCTAGCTGAATTACTGAGAAAACTGGTTAGCGCACTTTGTACTGGAGATATGGATGAGTATTTTCAAAATAAGTTTCTAACACCAATGATATACTGTTACGCTAAACGCCGTGCGATTTATTAATTAAATTACTTATACTTCCTGACAATTCCTCGATCCTTGTGGGGCTGCAAATACCGAGCTGCGAGTCTGGGAAAAAGAAGCCAGGTAGAAATAATTTTGATACAATTGATCGTTTGCGAAATCATTGTGCGCCAACGAGTTTTCTCAGTAATTCAGCTAGCAATTCTCGTGCTGTTTCCAAAAAGATGTTTACAGTGAGGGTCGAACTTAAGAAAAACGAACTATAGTATCTGCGATCGTTTTCGTCCGAGTAGTGTTGCCTGTTGATTGCATAATGCGTCTCATATATCGGGTGTGATTCGACATTCGCCTGGCGCGCGTGCGTTTTCCTCGCCAAACACCTATCTACTTACGATTAGCTTTTCTGAGATTTTCGGCGGCTGTAGCTTCGATGTAACGATCTCTGCTCGTACGAGATCAGCCGGGGTGAGAGAGTGTATTTATTCGGTGTACCTTCGCCAATGGGTGACCCGCAGCGCGGGGTCTGTACAGTTTCGATCAAGTAGTGAGTAGGGGAGGGCGGGACTCTTCTTTGGAGTAAGGTGGCCGAGAGTTAAGTTGTGGTCGAGCTGTCTATGGGAGTGTATCGGTAATCTTCGATGGCGTGATTCCGCTCTCAGTCTCTATCTGTCGGTTTCGAGTGAATCTATCGACATTTGGATGAATGATTGGCTTGTGTCAGTTTGTGGTGGTGAGCGTATACCATATGTGACAATATGTGCATAGCAGACTAGGGCGTCGATCTTTAACTTGTCTAGCATATGTCTTCAATCTCTGCTATCAGGTTAGCTACTCTCCCCATAAATATTGTCTTCAGCCCCTCTGTCAGGTTTGCGTGAATGCTCTGATGCGTTCCCCTATTGCCCTATCTGACCGTACGTATTTAGTGCCGTGTACCGCTGTATCGTAATGTGTACGAGTGTATGGCAATGTGTATGTGGATGATGCTGTTGGTATGGCTGGTGTATGCTGTTGGTATGGATGTAATTGTATATGAATGTATGAGGCTGTATGGTGGTGCTAAGACAGTCGTGTGGTAAATGTGGCACAATGGCGAATTGTCTCCTCAGCTCCAATCCTGGTGATTGTGAAGACCAGGCAGTGTAAGGACCAGGACACGTTTTGTCTATGTCTGTCCCGTCCCGTCCTATTGTGGTATCGGTCCGTGATCTCGCTGATACGTCTATCAAATTTCAGTTAAATTCATCATTCCTTGGCACCGATATATTCATTCAAATCACTATTCAGACATATACCGCTATGATGCTCTTTATTTCACAAGCCCCAGTGACTATGGGTTCGTCTCTCTACTTTTCCTCGTTATCTTTTTGCTCTCCCGCGCCCTGTAGTGTGCTGATTGTACAGCGTTATTTAAGAGTATCCACCCGGAGTTTCTCGCAGTGGAGCCGGCACGATTATATACCCAATGTGTAGTGACTGCCTATTGAGACTGTTCCGTGTGTGGCAAGTCCAGAGTCTCTGTGTGTCCTCTGTTCGCTGATTCGTCCTTCCTTGCTGGCTGGTGCTGAAAGGGACGTATGGGGATACGATACCCGTGTAGGAAGGGACTCGGGCGGGCTGGAAGGGACTCCGTCCTATTGGAGTTTGCCCCTGTCGTACGTAGCATGCCGTTTCGTTCCTGGATGTTTTGTTCGCAATGTGTATTGGTGATTGTTGGATGGGTTAGAAGGGAAGAAGCGGGGAGGGGTTAGAATTTGACGCCACACGGCTATAGAAATCTGTGTAGAAACTGCAAATGTGCGATACGGCTGACCGTGGTTACAAGACAACCCATCGGCGATGAACTATATAAAACGCCAATAGAAAAAAAACTACCCCTCATACATGGGCAAAGTAAATGCACGTTTTAAACCTACCTGGATTTGGGGTAGTATGTATCTGGGGTAGTCCCGTTGCGTTTACGCACGACGAATCCCTCTGACTGTGGCGAATCCACTGCTCTCGTGACTCTTTGTCGAGGGCTCCGTCGATCTGTCTTGTCGTCGTCTGCGCCTCTACACTGTCAAACGATCCACGCGCGCCCAAAGTCCGCTATTGTAAATATTTATTTTCGTACATGTTAGTGTGCGACAAAGGTGTGTCAAAAGTGGCGCAGGACCCTCCGTGCGCCGAAATTGGACATCGCGCCACGGTTGTCACCTCTGCGCCGGCGAGCGAGGCGCCCGGACCTGTTAGATCGATTTGTGAATGTTTATCGGGAAAGAGGGGCTGTCGGAGGGGACGAGAGGAGGGGAGAGCGCGGGAGCGAGTGCAAGATGTGGCGAAGCTTTGTCGTGAATAAAACCACAAAACGGGTCTCGCATGTGTGGGAAATGTTATGTGGATGCGATGAATGGCAAATCTGGGTATCGGATAGATAACATCGCTGGTTTACAATCACATCCTTATCCTTCGCAGGGCCATGATCTAAGTCATTCACGATTCACGGAAATTCACGAAAGAGCGCTTCACGAGAGAATATCCACGGCTGAAAACCATGGTGGGCAAGCGTGGTGGGCAAAGGCGTCCGCGTCGTCCCGGTAGTCGGGATGTCCTAGGTTCGATTCCCGGTTCCGGCCGTCCGTCCTCTGACTGTGTTCCTAGCCGTTCAGACTGGACCTCAGCGGTGTAACTTTAACACACTGCTAGGGTCGAAGCGAGATATTCGACACATATAGCAGGCACGTCAGCGTCGCATTCGCACATCGCTTAAGACCAAGAAAACGCGCATTTAATGCTGAACACCTACTATCAGAATAGACGTTGAAATGCTGGACACGATGCCTCTGTGATGAATATTGAATCACACCAATATTTCAAACATTTCTAAAAATGTGCAGATCTCGGTTACCGTCCTTGCGTCAGTCAAATCACATCACGTCATACTTGCGACTGACGTCAATATTCCAGTAGCATCACACAGAGGCATAACACATCAGCCGATTAGAATCGAGGGCTGCCTTCCCTTAGCAGTCTAAAGCTTCAGTAAAAGGCAACATTGATGTACTTATACAGTTAATGTTGCAAACTTGACGTAATCGGATTACTTACAGACTACAATTAGACATTTCGCCGCACATCTCTCGTCCATCAATCAATGAGAGTCTCTGCTTAAATCGTTTCACTTTGTCTATGCTCGCACCTCGAATCCATAAAACCCACCAATCTCTGCTCCAAAAACTTCCTCTCGCTTCCATTATTCGTGACATGCGATTAACCACACACACAAACAACCCTTACCTAAAATACCTCCCTCACCGGCCACTGATGACGTCACGCCTGCAGATGACGTCACTCGGACCAGGACTGGTCGCCGGGTGCGGCGCGGTGCGTGCAGTGGTTACAGCGCTTTTCTCGCAGCAGAAAGCACGGGATGAGGCCGAGCGGAAACAGCACGACGGCCAGAAACACACCACAGGCGGTGAACCGGGTCCTCAGAGCGCCCACCTGTCGGAGAGATAGAGACAGATAGAGAGAGAGAGAGGGGGGCGGAGAGGAAGAGCGAGAGCGAGAGAGAGAGAGAGAGAGAGAGAGAGAGAGAGAGAGAGAGAGAGAGAGAGAGAGAGAGAGAGAGAGAGACAGAGAGAGACAGAGAGAGAGACAGAGACAGAGACAGAGACAGAGACAGAGACAGAGACAGAGACAGAGACAGAGACAGAGACAGAGACAGAGACAGAGACAGAGACAGAGACAGAGACAGAGACAGAGACAGAGACAGAGACAGAGACAGAGACAGAGACAGAGACAGAGACAGAGACAGAGACAGAGACAGAGACAGAGACAGAGACAGAGACAGAGACAGAGACAGAGACAGAGAGAGAGAGAGAGAGAGAGAGAGAGAGAGAGAGAGAGAGAGAGAGAGAGAGAGAGAGAGAGAGAGAGAGAGAGAGAGAGAGAGAGAGAGAGAGAGAGAGAGAGAGAGAGAGAGAGAGAGAGAGAGAGAGAGAGAGAGAGAACGAACAAAGGAAGAGCGTCACGAATCAATAACAGAAAGCTGACACCTAAACGTTCACTTTATCGATGGAGGTCCGTATACAAAGCTTTGTGTTACCCAGGGCAACCGAAAAACTTGTTATTGCCGAACTTCCTAGAATCAAGGCCCTATATACCCCTAGAAGTATTCAAGTAAATGACGTGTTTCATGTATGATGCTGCAATAAGTCCTGCGTACCTACATGAATTGATTCTGCAGTAGCAGAAAGCGCGACGAAATCCTCAGACAAGTGAATAACGGTTCGACGATTTCCTGTCAGTTATACTGTCCCGCACCACACGTGGGCATGGTAAAAACTAATAAGTATTTAGGAGGAATACCTTTAGGCACTGACTCCAGTGCTTTCCAGGGTATATTAATTTTGATGCCAGTTGTATAAACACCTGTCTAGAAAAGGAACATCTGGCTCATTCGCACGAACTAAATTATTGTACACAGTCAATTTCTAAGCATAGGCGGCGGAACGGGGAGGGCATCGGGGCACCGTGCCCCCTTTTGATTTTGACATTTTAACAGTAGCCCTATGGGCGTTGCATGGAAAGAATGGGACCAAAAATCGGCAGTGCCCCCCCCCCCCCTTTAATTGAAGGTGTTCCACCGCTACTGTCCATGCCAGACATTTACGGAGCATGCTGATAACACCGCCATAGTTTTGATTACACCTATGTCACTGAGGTATGTCTGCAATGACAATCACGAGCGACATTCAGTCATAGAAATGATGAGAAAAAATTTTAAAAGGAAAGCTTATGC